TACACTTGTCCAGGCCAAACTCCATTCTTGTGTCAGCACTGTATTTCTTTATGGTTTTAAGCAACCTGTCCAGTCCATCCTTAGTGGCAGATATTAGTTTGATGTCATCCATGTAAGCTAGATGGCTTATTTGTAGGTTGTTCTGAAGCTTATAACCTTCGTTCTTCTTGTGCAGCATTCTAGATAGAGGTGCTAATACAATACAGTACCATAAAGCACTTAGTGCATCTCCCTGGAAGATACCTCTTTTAATGCTGATGGCACCGATGTTGATATTTCTTCTTTATGGGTTATTACAAGATTAGTTTTCCATTGAGGCATAAGGTTTTGCAGCAATCTCACTATACTAGGGCTGATTTTATATATTTGGAGCATTTCAATTAATAGAGAGTGAGGAACACTGTCAAAGGCCTTTTTATAGTCAATGTATGCAACATACAGATCTTTCTTACAGCCCTTTGCTTCCTCCGTGATGATTGTATCTATTCTGATTATTATTATTATTATTACGATTATTATTATTATAATTATATTTATTATTATCATTATAACTATTATTATTATTATTATTATAAGTATTATTATTATTATTATAATTATTATTATTATTATGATTATTATTATAATTATTATTATTATGATTATTATTACTATTATTATTATTATTATAGCTATTATTATATTATTTATTATCATTATTATTATTATTCATTATTCTTATTATTATAATTATGATTATTATAATAATTAATATTATTATTATAATTATAATATTATTATTATTATTATGATTATTATTATTATTTTATTATAATTATAATTATAATTATTATTATTTTATAACTATTATTATAGCTATATTATATTATATTATTATTATAATTATCATTATTATTATTATTATTATTATTATTATAATTATAATTTATTATTATTATTATTATATTATTTTATTATTATTATATTATTATTATTATTATTTATTATGATTATTATTATTATAACTATTATTATTATTATTATTATATTATTATGATTGCTATAACTATTTATTATTATAACTATTATTATTATTATAGCTATTATATTATAATAATAATAATAATTATTATATTATAGTTAATATTATTATTATTATGATTATTATTATAATTATTATTATTATTATTATTATTATCAATTGCAATTATTATTATTACTATTATAATATAATTATTATTTGTTATTATTATTATTATAATCCTATTGTAATTCTTATGATTGTTATACTTATTATTATATTATTCTTATTGATTATTATACTTATTATAATTTACTTATTATTCTTAAACTATATTATAATTATTACTTATTATTAAAAATTATCATTCCTTCTTATTATTATTATTATTATAATTATAATTATTATTATTATTATCATTATTCTATTATTCTTATTATGTTATTATTAATATCATTATAATTATTATAACTCTGTATTATTATCCTTTTTTACAAAATTTATCGTATTATTATTAATTATATTATTATTATGATTCTTTTATTATTCTTATTATTATTTATGATTATTATTATTATAACTATTATTATTATTATTATTATATGATTGTTATAATTATTATTATTATAGCTATTATTATTATTATTAGTATTATTATTATTATTATTATAGGTCATCTACAACTGGAGATGTTACAGTTTTTATTGAATCCCTCGATACAATGTTACATATGCTTGTTAATAGGTATAAGAACTTTATTATAATTGGAGACATAAATATAGATGTAAGTCTGGAAACTTCTGATACCAAGGAGTTACGATGTATGCTAAACACATTTGGGTTCCGCCACTGTATCACAGACATGACGAGAAATACGGAAACTAAGCGATCTTGTCTGGACAATGTCCTTACAAATATTGATCCAGACATGATGGCATGTGGTACCTGTGATCCGGGCATGTCTGACCACAAAGGGGAGTACATGGTAATGTACGACGCTCAGAATTTTACTTCTGGGGCACCATCTGTGCTAAGGCGTATTATATCTAATGATCGTATTTTGTCTTTTGTTAACCACGTATGTAAATCGCCTCTGCGCATCCTTTCACATTCTTCCGCTACTGACGCAGTGGATGCGTTTCTTCATCAAATAAACATTTTTGTAGAGGACTGTTTTCCACTCAAAAAAATTCAAAAAAGAACTTCTCCAGTTAACTGGTATAACGACAGGCTGCGTCAGATGCGAAATAATATGAATGAGCTTAAAACAACATTTAATGCTACTAGAGACGTTAAGATCTGGGAAGACTTCAAACTGAGTCGGAACACTTATAGGAAAACTATTAAGGAGGAAAAAAGGAATTTTTACGCAAACATAATTGAAAACTCACATAATAGAAATAAATCTATTTGGAAAGTTGTCAATGCCGAGTATAAAAACAAAACATCTACTAAAACTAATTTGAATTCTGAAGAGTTGAACATCTTCTTCACATCTGTAGCTAGCAAAATACTAAATCAATTGCCTGTATGTAATTATAGTGCAGAGAATTACCTAAAAAATGTAACCAAGCCACATTTTTCATTTTTCATTAGTCCAATACTTCCTCAAGATGTCAGGAAGGCAATCTTACTCCTAAAAGATTCATATTCTTTTGATCATTACGGCCTAAACAGCGCTATCTTGAAGAGTTGTGTCGATATTTTAGCCGAACCGCTATCTGTTCTGTACAGTAAATGCATACAGGAGGGTGTTTGGCCAGACGCTTTAAAAATATCGAAAATAATACCAGTCTACAAAAAAGGAGATAGGGACTCCCCTGACAATTATAGGCCAATTGCAATCATCCCTATTATTGCAAAAATTTTTGAGATCCTGTTGAAAGAAAAGCTCACCTCTTATTGTGAAAAAAAATCAATACTTTCTGTCTCTCAATTTGGATTTCGGAAAAATTCCACAACCATCAAAGCATTACTTCACTTGCTTGATGAATTATTGGACAACATTGACAACCACATAGGTACTATGGCTGCCATGTGCGATTTAACAAAAGCGTTTGACTGCGTTAATACGCAGATACTTCTCCAAAAACTTGAATTCTATGGTATGAGAGGTAATGAGCTAGCCCTTTTCCAATCCTATCTCACAAATAGGAGGCAGTACGTCAGTATCGACGGCATTAACTCTAGAGTGCTGGAGATAAGAAATGGTGTACCTCAGGGCTCTGTGCTAGGCCCATTACTGTTTCTTATTTACATCAACGATCTGCCTCAGAATATTGTCAACGGCTCATGCATTCTGTTCGCTGACGATACTACACTGCTCGCCCGTTCAGATCTGTGTTCTGTTGTGGAAAGCTTGGAACAGGCTAAACGTTGGTTCCTTGCTAATAAATTATCTCTTAATGAAAGCAAAACCCACCATATCACTTTTTCATCTGATAGGTGGGTATCGAAGTCGGCACCAGTGAAGCTATTGGGGATGGTTTTAGATACCAGACTTAATTGGGCCTCACATATTGACTACCTCTGTTCCAAGCTCTCCACTCAGGTGTACATACTCAGACAACTTAGCCGATGTCTTAGTGGTCATACACTGAGGGCTGTATATTACAGCATTTTTCACAGTCACCTGTCCTATGGTACTGTTCTTTGGGGTAACTCGGTTACTGCAAACAAAATATTCGTATTACAGAAGTCGGCAATAAGGATATTAACGAATTCCAAATTTCGAGCTACTTGTAGAGACCTATTTAAGAATAGTCGGATACTGCCTTTAGCGTCAATCTATATTTACGAGTCATTGCGATACATTCACGCTAATCTTAACAAATACTCAACCCCCAGTAGTACCTACCGCTTGAGATCAGCGGACATGTTTAGAAATCAATATTCACGTTTAATGATGATTCAAACCAACAGACCCGATGTAAATATGTATACGTATAACCTGCCTGTTAAAGCCTACAGAAAATTTAACATAAATTGCATGTCAACATCACGTTTCTCGCGTTTTACAAAGAAATTGTTACTGGAATACTGTTTTTATAGTGTCACTGAATATATGGAATACCTTATTAATGTAAAATAGTGTTTAGGACCTCACATGTACATTATATGTATATAAAGTGGTGAATAAATGATATGATGATGATGATATGATATGATATTATTATTATTATTGTTATTATTATTATGATTATTATTATTATTATAATTATTATTATTATAACTATTATTATTATTATTATTATTATTAATTATTTATTATTATATTATTATGAGTGTTTATGATGTTATAATTATTAGTTTATTATAATAATTAATATTAATTAGTATAATTATAACATTATTATGAGTATTATTAGTATTATTATTGGAAAATTATATTATTATGATTATGATTATAATCAATATTATTATAATTATGATTATGATGAGTATAACTATTATGAGTATTATTAGCATTATTATTATAATTTATTATTATTATTAATGATTATTATATTATCACTTATTATTAGTAGTATTATAATTATTAGATTATATTTATGATTATTATGATTCTGATATAATGATTATTAGATTATTCTAATCATGATATTATAACTATTATTATTATTTATAATTATTCTTATTATTATTTAATTAGAGATTATGATTCGACTTATTCGCTTCGTGTGTAACTATTATTATTATTATTATTATTATTATTATGACTGTTATAATTATTATTATCATTATTATGATTATTATTATAATTATTATTATTATCATTATGATTATTACTATTATTATAGTTATATTATTATTATTATTATATTATTATATTATTATTATTGTTATTATAATAATAATAATTATCATTATTATTATTATAATTATAATTATTATTATTATTTTTATAGCCGTAGGGCTTTGTTACTCCCGTTAATCGGGGTGTTCTGGCTTAACCCGGACGTTTCAAGCATCAAAGGGGTAAGCCTCAATAGTGACCTCCCTAGGTACTTGCATTTCCCATAAATTTTCTTACTATGCGGGCAGTTGCCAGCAAAACTCCTTTCTGTATGATTTTGTAAATGTTTTCACTCAGTTCCAGCGCTTTGATGTTTTCTAGCAGCCTTCTTGGTATCACCCCTGTAGATGACATTATTATTGGTATTGTTTCCACGTACTTCATTTTCCACTGGCGTTTAATTTGAAATTCTAGCTCCCTGTATTTTGCAACTTTCTCATTATGTTTGTATGTTAAATTGTTACTATTAGGTATGGCCACATCAATCAGTGTTACTTTCTGGGCGCCCTTGTCGACAATGATTATGTCAGGTCTGTTTTGTTTTATGTATTGGTCCGTAAGCACAGTGCGATCCCAGTATAGTTTATACTTGTCGTTCTCGAGGACACATTGCGGTGTATATTTGTAGTACTGTAGCTTGCATTCGATCAGTTTGAATTTGTATGCCAACTCCTGGTGCATGATTTTGGCAGCTATGTCGTGGCGCTCCTTATAGTCCGTTGGAGCGAATGCTTGGCATCCACCAGTTACGTGCTGTATTGTTTCGGAGTCCTGACAGCCGTACCTGCATTTATCAGACTGTTACAAGTTCTTAAGTGTGAACCTCTTGTAATTGTTGGTAGGGATGACCTGGTCCTGTATAGCTACAAGGAATCCCTCAGTCTCAGGGAACATTTGGCCTGAGGTAAGCCAATAGTTTGACGCTTTCTTGTCAACGTTTTCTAGGCTAATCTCGTTGGCATGTCTCCCATGTAGAGGTTTTTCAATCCATCGTTGTAGCTTCTGTTCATTGGTTTGGTGACTCGGTTGGTCATCTCGTCTACTAAGGTGTAAGGGCGTTGTGTCATCTATTGAGCATATGATGCGATGCAGCTCAGAGATCTCGGCCTTCTTAAAGAAGTAGGATCGCAAGGCGAGTACCTGTTGAGCTAGCTGCTTGCTGATGTCCATTAGACATCTTCCTCCTAACTGTCGGGGTAAGGTTGTGCGCTCTATTGCACTGCGAGGATGGTGCGCTACTTTTTTTGTTAGTATAGTCCTTACCCGCCTCTCTAGTTTCTCGATGTCAGTTTTACTCCACAGAACTATACCGAACGAGTAGTTCAAGGCAGAGCATGCGTAGGTCTTAATCGCCTTGACTAGATTCTTACTATTGAGTTCTGTTTTCAGAAGTAGCCGTATTCTTTTTGTGAAGATCTGTGATATAGCTTCCTTAATTTTTTATGGTCTATCCTTCGGGCCAGCGCCATTCCAAGGTACTTGTATGTGTCATTTGCGTCCATTGCGTCAATGTTTTGGCCTCCGCAGCTTGAAAATCCTCCAGGGTAGATGTTCCCCCTACGTATAGATAAGGTTTTGCATTTATCCATCCCAAATCGCATACTTATGTCATCTGAGAACTGACCGACTATCTCTAGCAGCTGTTTCATTTGATTCTCAGTAGCAGCTATTACCTTTAGGTCGTCCATATACAGCAAGTGGTTCAGCTTTACGGATGCGTTCCTGTTATCTTTCAGATTATATCCATACCCTGTTGCATTTAAGAGGTTTGAGAGGGGATTTATAGCTAGACAAAACCATAGGGAACTTAATGAATCACCCTGAAAGAGACCTCTTCGGATAGAGATCGTCTCAGTTTGAATGGTGCTGGTCCCGTTTGTATGCAGTGTTATTCTGGTTCTCCAGGTCTTCAGCATATGTTCTAATAGGGCCACTACATGCTCATCTACCTTATAGAGCCTCAGCACCCTGACAAGCCATTCATGAGGTACAGAATCGTATGCCTTCTGATAGTCGATGTACGTAATGTATTGGTTCCTTTTGTTGGTATAGGCTTGGTTACAGATGACTGAATCGATAACCAGCTGTTCTTTGCATCCCATAGCTCCCTTAGCACAGCCTTTTTGTTGTGGCGCAATAATATCGTTTTCTTCACAATGAGCATAAATTCGCTCCGATATACAAGCAGTGACCACCTTGTATAGCGTAGGAAGGCAGGTAATTGGGCGGTATTTTGCTGGGTCTTCTGTATTATTGAGACCTTTTGGTATTAATACCGTTAGCCCTTGTGTAGGAACGTTATTATTATTATTATTACTACTATTATTATTAATATTATTATTATCTGTTGTTTGCTGCTTACGTAGATAATATTTGATTCAAATAATGAATCTAAACAGAACAAAAAAAACGAAGTTAGACAGATATTTCCCACGCATTGACAAAATCTATACGTGTTACAATTATACATTTTCTAGACCTCTCAAACGTTTTAAAAGCTGCATCAAGACATTGCTGGATTAAAAAACCAATACAAAATCAAATTTGTATGGTTTTTAATTAGGTTCTAAAAGAGTTTACTGCCAATTCTGCAATTATTAGATTAGGAAATTTTCATTTTTGCCTTTTATATAACAAACAAGTATATATGTATTTCTTATTTATTTATATTATTTTGCTGCCCGAAATAAAAACTCTCTTTGCAATACTCATTACCAACTGTACATTAGTCTATGAGCATGTGTGTTTTCAAAACATGTCTCTTTACTTCTCACGACTAATTTTATAATCGCCTGTAACTTGAGAAGTACCGCTCGGATTTTGATGAAATTTTTACACTATGTTACTACTATGCCAAGGACGCAAAGTTTTGTAGTTTTTGAAAATGTGGTCCAGTGGTGGCAAAGGAAAAGGCCTAAAATGAAACAAATCAGAATCTCTCAAACTTGGTTTGTTGACATATCAGAGGAACCTGAACAATTTTGGAAAAAAATTGAAGGCAAACAAACTTGGCCGCGCTGCCACTGCTTACCTAGTTAAGTATCAGGCAGAGGCGACGTTTTCAGATGCACTACTATGGACTAATTATGGACCTGTTTAACTGACTTTTTTCTCAGAGGGTCTAGTTTGTGCACAACATAAACCTTTATGAGCTGATAACTTTCAAAGTAAAACTCTGGAGAAGTTTTAAAGGTGCTTGTCCAAAAATGAAAGGCTGTACGACCTCTTCGGTGTTATTGTGAAACTTGTACTATTCTATTACATGGTTACAAAGGCATGAGGATGTTCATAAATACAGCACAGACGAAGATAATCCTGAACCTGAACAATTTTGGAAAAAAATTGAAGGTAAACAAACTTGGCCGCGCTGCCACTGCTTACCTAGTTAAGTATCAGGCAGAGGCGACGTTTTCAGATGCACTACTATGGACTAATTATGGACCTGTTTAACTGACTTTTTTCTCAGAGGGTCTAGTTTGTTCAGAACATAAACCTTTATGAGCTGATAACTTTCAAAGTAAAACTCTGGAGAAGTTTTAAAGGTGCTTCTCCAATAAAAATGAAAGGCTGTACGACCTATTCGGTGTTATTGTGAAACTTGTACTATTCTATTACATGGTTACAAAGGCATGAGGATGTTCATAAATACAGCACAGACGAAAGATAATCTGGACAAGAGACAGACCGATAGAGGAGCATGATGTAGTTTTTCAAAATTTTAAACATAATTCTGAAAAATACGAATAGTGTAATATCCTGGAAACGGTCGAATCATTTTAAATACTTTGCTTCAAAAACTGGTAAGGAACCTCGACACAATATCTTGCAGATTCTACAAAACATGAAGTAACCAATCACCAGGACATTTTGATGGAACAAACAGGTCAATTAAAATAGCTGACATAGATATTTGTAATGATAAGATTAAAAAACTTATTAAAATTATACCGATTTCACAAAAAAAGGACGCATATACCTGATCTGACAGGCAAAAAATGATTATAATCTCGAAAGTGAAGTAGCTACATGTTGTTTGAAGTGGCTGTACATGTAAAATATATGTTAAGTCATTCCAAACATCCCCGCTTGTTTACACTAGATAAGCAATACATTTGTTATCTCTTAGCTATCAGAAAATATGATAAGTAAAATGCGCTTGAATAACTTACCAAGTTCAATGTTATTTTAACTCTCATGGAATTTTTTTCAACAGGTGTTGTTTGCTCGATGTTTTCAACTTAGCAAAACATGCTGTTTTCGCACTTCCTCTTAGATGACGAATCTTTCGAATATTTCAGAAAATAGGAAGATCTATTCTAATTTTGTTAAGCTAATTCTTAATTATGATGACATGAAATTCCGAAAGCTCTTTTTTTACGAAGCCTAAATGCCTAAAGAAATTTTGTTAATCCAATTTTTGAACTGCCTAAGGTCAGTAGAAGTGGGAAAAGCTTCCTCTTGTAGATTGTTCCAGAATTTCGACACCCTCGGGACAAAGGAGCGGTCGTATCGTGTGAGCAATACTGGCGGCTAGGTCTTATCTGGGACTTGTACACAGTGAGGAGGTCATGTGGAGAAAAGTACTTCTCAGCCCTAAACAAATAGCCTAGCCTACAAGATTTTTGCGTCCCCAAGTAGTGATAATCTCCAGATCTCTCGTCAGAGAGGAAGTTTTTTTCCAACTCACCGGCAGAGATCTGCTTGTCGCTCTGAATTCCTGCATGTAGAGTGCTGTCATCAGCAAAGCTGTGGATTGGGTTGATCGTATAGGAAAGGAGGTTGTTGATATAATATATATGTAAGAGGAACAGTGTCGGAGCCAAGACCGATCCCTGGGGAACACCTTATCCGTTGACGTTGTGGAATGAAAAGGAGAACCCGTCAATTACGACGGACATCTTACGGCCAGAGAGAAAGTCAGGTACCCATCTGCAAAGCTTCTCCAGGAGTACATAGGATGGAAGTTTGCATAAGAGGACAGCGTGCCACAGCTGATCGAATGCTTTCGTGATATCAAGAACAACGACATGAGCATCACCATAAGTCTGGATGAGTTTACTCCACAATTGCGTGACGTAACTTAAGAGGTTCCGTGTAGATTGCTGGTGCCGAAGATCATATTGCCTGTCGCTAATCAAGCCATGACATTCGAGGTAGTTCAGAAGCTCGCGATATACGCACCTCTATATCACCTTACTTACTCACAGAAAGCAGAGCTGTAGGACTGTAGCTGTAAGAGTTGGTCTTAGATCCTTTTTTTGGGAATGGGTTAGACATGAGCGAATTTCCAGTTTTCTGGGAAAGTTCCGGATTCATAAGGACACTTGGAAGAGACGCGAAAGAACTGGAGCAAGCTCCGCTGCAAACCTGATCAATACAACGACAGAAATCAAGCCCGGATCAGAAGCTTTGTTGATGTCGAGCGACAAGAGCATCCGTCGACGGCACTCGGGCATTGGGCGTTCATGGTGGAGTTGGCAGCAAAGATCTTGGAAATCACTTCCGCCTTAGCCTTTGAGTCGATTACAATTGTTCCATCCTGACATGTAAGTGGTGGGAGGCTACTCTGTGAGAAGTTCCTTTCAATCTGCTTGGCCAGCACCTAGAAAGACCGATTACCATTGCGCTGCGACATTACCCTGTACCTAATTTTTATATCGTTGGCATTGCGGACCGCTTCATTATATAGGTGTATTATTTGTTTCTGGTCTGGACGTCGGATTGTCTGTTCTATACAGTGGAGTTTCGTAAGAAGGTTCTGTGTGATTTGTTCTTTTGCTAACGAACCGTGTCGCACGGTTTGTTGAACCAGCCGTAGGATCCTGGTTTAGGCACTTTCACTGTATGAGGGATGTATTGCTCCATCACAACGTGGATAATTTCGGTTATCTATGCAGACAGTCGACGCATCCGCGTCAGCGAAACAGACATCTCCAAGGAAAAGTGGAGAAGTCTATGAGTCCCTCCCAGTCGGCATGTCCGTAATGCCAAATTTTGTGGCCTGTGCGAGTCTCTGCTGCCACAGCGGGGTCTGGCCGAAACCTATAAGCTCTGGAACACCAAAGGTCTGGGTTACCCAGGTAAGGCAGGACAGCAATGCTGTAAGGGACATATGCGTGGAAAGAAAGAGATTCAGCAGACTCCTGGCGTGTGACGAAACGCGGGAGAAAAGTAGTGCTCGTCATCTGCTGGGTCAGTCCTTGGATAATAGCGAACCCTTCGACCTGCTTTATCGGTTTTGTTTGAACCCAACCAAAGCTTATTATGGGCATTGACATCATCGAGAAAAAATGCTTCTGAAGCGTGGTGATTGACGGTCAGGAAGTCGATCTTGACAGCGATGTCATCAAGTACAGTTATGGTCCGAGGGAGAGCGATTATGGCAGCAAATAAATTTGGGGGACGTTTCGAAGTTTAGGCGAAGCCACAGGATGTCCTTCCGGTTTGATTCCCAAAGAAACTTATCTGGTGCGGGAAAGGCTGCTGCGGACAAAAGGCACAAACTCCCCTCTTGTTTCTCAGATTATAGCACACCTCGTAATTTGGGAAGCTAAATGATTAATCGATATAGACTCCGATATTTTTGTCCCCGCCAAGAAAAGCATGGCGAGATGATTAGATTGCAGATATTGATGAACAGCTTTAATGTTGCTGTTAATCCCGCAGATGTTCGTGGAACAAATTTTATCTTCGATGTTGTTCCCTCGAGTCCACCCTCCCCCGAGAGTGGAGTGAGTTTACGGAATTCTTAGTACTCGAGGCATTGGACTTGTACCGCCACCCGGCAATCGGTTCTGAGGTATTCCTTAAGACGTGTACAATCATTTGAACGGGAACAAGTTGTATACAACAACTTCCGGAACAAGCATTTGCCACGGCCCTGCTCAGTAGGGGTAGAAGAATACCAAATCCCTTCGAATGTGAAATGTTTTGCATCGTGGTAAAATAATTTAATGTTAATCCGAAACTTATCCTGTGGTTGTTTCGATACATCTCCATATTTTGCTGGCCGCCAACTTAAACCATATCGTCGGTCATCTCACGAAGTGACGTATCTTACATTTAGATAATTGTTCAGGAGAGGCGAAAAACGAAATTGCTTTATATTTGAATTGCTTTAAATCCTGATATGATTGAGTTTTAGATCTGATTATTTATATGTCATTTAGTGCTATGCAAGTTATGAATACCTGTCACGTAAGAGACCACAACTATTCACACTTCTGAGAAAAAAAAGTTTGAATGCAGATACGTCACTTCGTGTGAAACTAAATCTTGACTTTTTGGAGATACGTCTCTTTAACTAAATGTATAGGGAAGGCACAAAAAATAAATAGCTAGATAAAAATCAAATAGCGTTCTATTATAAAATAAAACAAACAGTACTAAAACATTGAAAAACAAATAAATCAAATTCACATGAGAAGAAAGTAAGATTATGTTGTAATCTAGAAAACATACACCTTATTATTTTTTGCTAGATTATACTGGAAGTAAAAGAGCTATTACTAATAAAGTAGTATTAGACACTGACAAGGGTTCAATCCTAGGTTATGCCAATTCGTCACTATGGGGAAGAGTAATGAAAAACTGTTGATGTTCCGGTAAACGAATTACGGGAGTTTCTCCTTGACACAAGGAAACCAAGTCTTTATATTTTTTACCAGATGTCTTTGGTTGTTCCTTGTTCAGTTGGGGTAGTTCTAATTTTGAGAGATCAATGTTTAGACGTTTTAGAACTATACAGTCGTATTCTGGCTGTTTTTGAAAAATATTTTTAGCGGGGAAGCTTGTGTAACTAACACTTCCATTACATCGGTCCACTTAACGTTCTTGCCACTTTCGCTGGTTCTAATACTCAGGATTCTAAGATCTTTTGATAACGACTTATAATCTTTAAAGTCGCTGAACTTCATTGGAACAACCTTATAAGGGCTGTTTATTCGTGCCAGACTTATTATTGGATATAGCTGAGAAGGCAAAAATACATTACCAGCTTTAGAAATAGCTCTGCTGATAGCACTATGAGCGGAGTCCCCTTCGCTCTGACCATGGTTCGTTTCAAAAAAAACGTAAAGAGATTTCTTCTATAGTGGGAAATTTGCTTATGGAATGGAGCAGCATGGAAGCGACGATTGAATTCTTGTTTTGGCCGTAGCATCCGTCTGCGTACAAATAAAAATTTCTAACACCTTTCTTACTGTAATGCTCCAAAACTTGTGCTATGCAGGTTGCTATTTCCGAAGAGCCACGCTTACTGACTGCTTCGTGCCACACGAAACAAAAGCACTCTCTCGTTGCTACGTTATAAAACGTAAAATTGTATGTAGTTAAACGAGTTTTATAAAAAACTGCACTTTCGTTAGAAATAGGTACATAAATCACTTGTTGTAAGTCAAAAACACCACAGACACTGAACGAATCTTGTTTGGCTTTTTTTTTTCATTTCAGTGAACGAACGTTTACCTTTTCGGCAATATGAAGATCGTATCGAGCTTTTAATTTATGTTTAACGGTATCGTCGCCTTCCCTATAAGACACGCAAAGGGAACACTGATCTTTTTTTGGTGAATGAAAAGATAAGTTTTTGGCCTTAAATACTCTTCTATAGGTATGAAAACTTGGTTTTTCTACTCTTCCAACTTTCTCTAATTCATCTAAATACATAGCATGCATTTTTCTTAAATTCAAATCTGGGTGTAAGTACATTTTGATAATGCTAGCACGGCAATAATGAGATTCTACTCTGGGGAATCTATCAATATGCTCACTTATATCCTTTCTTATGAATTCCTCTCGTTTTTTCTCATCATATTTTCTCTGCCTTCCTCCCCTTTTATCTGCTTCCAAGATTCCACACTCTTTCACTTTGCTTAAAGCAGTTCGAGCTGTACGCTCTGAAATCGATAGAGTATTCAAAAATATTTTTTTACAAACAACCTTTCGTTCTCCAGATAATGATGTTAAAGTGTATACCACACTTTGTTGTCTTCTTGACTCCTTATTCGTAGTTTTTCTTTTGATTGCTTTATCTTCCATGTGTCGTATTAAAAACTCCCTTTGCCGCGTCAAATCACCAAGTTCATAATAATATTCGAAAATCATTTTTCTATCGTCTTCATTTATCATAATACATTGCTTGCCAAACTTCATACATTTTTTTGAATCACAACGTTCTTTGATTGATCTAGCCGGAACAGATTTCTTCTTAAATGGACTAACATATTCTTTACCCAAATTTCTCATTTTTTTGGCAAGCTTCTACGTATTCATGATTGGTGGTTTTTCCGAACCGTTTCCTTCCTTTTTCGCACCTTCAACCAAAAATGATTCTGGACGTGATTGTTGTGGACTTTCTGTCAGCGGAGAAACTTCAACATGTCGCTCTGAGTTTCTATTTATTTTTTTAACATGCTCGGAACAAGTATCTGAGTCTTCCAACATGTGCTCCCAACAAAGTAAAATGAAGCATCGATGGCAGGCGCTCCAGACTTCCCGCCTGCAATTGGCAACCTCGCACAATCCCCATGACGGATCTGCGTCTGAGTCGTAAGTTGGCGATGGACTGTGTGATTGAGGAGTTATTAACTTCTTAACTAATGAAGACAGTGGAGCCTCATCGTCCTCACCCCATACCGGCTTCAATTTATTTAGCGAAATATTGTCTGCAGAGTCGCTACTGCTGTCCTCTATGGTTTCAAGAGCTAGGACACATCCCCAATACCACTTCTTTTTAAAAAACATCTTAACTCGTCTTCCTACTGCAATGGTCTCCGAGTTACACGTATGAAGTTCACTAGCGTTCACCACGTTTTTGGTACCATCCTCACAGAGCACTAGGACATCCATGTCTGCTACGTGTTCTCACCTGCAACAGGGGTGGTTTCATAGTAAAGATTTCTGAAAAAATATGCAATGACATCAACTAACTGTTTATAAGAACTATACTTAATAACATTTTGTACATGATAACGACACACAATTGATGATATGAAACTTAAAAATACTTGCGTACCACGTTAAATGCCTTTATTACGTACCTCTCTATAAACAAACTGATTACAACACACTAGGTACTAACTAGGTCGCTTATAAACAATCTTCAAAAAAATATACCTAATAATCGGTTAATACAGACGACATAACCTCGCAATCCACATACCACTGCACGTGCATCTACTTGACTGAAACAATTAAATTACAGAGTTACAGACGACACAACTCAACAATATCTGACAGGTTAACAGTAGATACGCCGCTATTGTCGGCATTGATAATTACATATAAATTTCACACGAACAGACGTAACTTACTATACGACTTTTCGTGTGAAAACAAATGCTTATTTTGTAAGATACGCCAAAAAATCAAATGCTTTTATACCATCAAGTAAAAGAGTTACAGATACGCTGCTTCGTGAGATCAAAGTGGGTGCACAGACAACTTGTTTACCGGCGTAACTCAATTTTGAAAATTTTGTTAGATACGTCACTTCGTGAGATGACCGACGATATATATTGCATTGAAAGATTACTAACGCTTTGATCACTTCTTTTTGAATATTCGTCAAAGATTGTCATTGCCGTTTTTTGTAGTTTGCAAAGACCGCCAAAGTGGTCGAAATGTTAGTAAACTTTTAGTCCAATACCGGTGGTTCCATTTGGTGACCAGTAAAGCTTGGTGATTTTAAATAACTTTTTCTACTAAGATTTTCTTTAAAGGAATGTAATTTCTGAAGCCAACTATAGTCAAGTACCAGAATGGAAAAGTCACATCACCTGCCACTGTTAGTGATGAGATTCGTACCACACGTACAGGGTATCCTGCTATAAATTGACCTCTATTTTATATAAAGCTGAAGAAAAGTGCTATGTAATAAAGCTATATACTTTTAAATATAGCTGTGTATGTTTAGTGAAAATTATAGTCGTTTATTTGTGATTATGAATATATCAGGTAACCAAATACTCGTAAGTTCGTGCGGTTTTTAGTAAAAAATATAAGTTTTTATTGAGAAACAATAAGACACTATTTATTCGTCGAAGTAATTACCATCACATTCAATGACCTTTTGTCAATGTGCAACCAATTTTTGTATGCCGGTATTGTATAACTCCCTGGTTTTGGAGTCAAAAAATTGGCGGACTGCATTTATTACACCATCTCGAGTTGTGAACTGTGGGTGCCTCATACAGTTGTCAAGAGACAAAAGAAGGTGATAATCACTGGGCGAAATGTCGGGAGAGTATATGGCGGGTGCTGTAACGTTTCCCAGCCGAGTTTAGAAATTTTTTCTCGGGTCACTTTTGCGGTATGAGGCTTGGATTTATCCTGCAAGAATATCACTTTCTTCCGACTGATCAAAGAAGGCTGTTTTTGGATGAGTGCTGCTGTCTGTACTCGCTGAAGCTGCTCTCAACACAAGTTAGCAGTGATGGTTTGACTCCTTTCCAAAAACTCATAATGGACAATTCCAGTTGCTGTCCACCAAATACACAACAAAACCTTGTTTGGGTGCAAGGAAGCCTTGGGCGTGTGTGGTACCGAATAAGTAGGCGACAACCAATGATACGAACGCTTAGAATTCGAATACAAGATCCATTTTTCGCCGCAGGTTAATAACCGATTAAGAACTGGTTCATTAGCGTTGCGTGAAATGTTTGCTGAACAAATGGTAAGACGACTTAATTTGTTATCATTTATCAGTTCATGTGAGACCCATTTGCTTAACTTCCACGTCTTTCCTAGCTGATGAAGATGCAAACGAATAGTTTTAGGACTCACTCTGAACACAACCTGTCGAAGATCCTCGTTGTTCGCGATTTTTGGTCTCCCTGAGAGCGGTTCATCGCTCAAACTGAGATCTCCCGAAGAAAATTTTTTGTAACACTTTTCAGCAACTTTTTTTGTGTGTGTGAGAAAAGAAGGATTTATCCTAAAGTGACAACAGGTAACAAACAATCGCTATTGATCAACAACATCCATGGCAATCTGAGATATACAGAAACCGCACGAACTTACTTGGTTACCTGTTATATGGTTTTTTACACTTGTTTTCATTACTCTAGTTAACGTTTTTGTGTGACGAATAAAAATAGAACCACACAGTAAAACTGATTTCATACACGAAAGAAAAACTTTATATTTAATGTATAACTAATCTATAACCTTTGTTTGGAACTTTTTTCTAAACGGCCATACAAAAAGTTACATTACACAATCAGACAAATCCTTCCAACAGAAGAAGATTGATTTATATGAGAATGAATGAATGAGTAATGAATAACGAAATCAAAGACATACCGGCCACCACGAGGAGGCGGCCCATAGGCCTCTTAACGGGCCCTTTGCACCACTGCATCCCCTAAGCCTCATCCTCCGCCAAAGTGTTGGACCGCAGTATAGTCTGCCTGTAGTATCTCAGAGCCTCACAGCGGCGCAGAATAGGCGCCGAAGACTACCCCGCAGCGCTCACAATGGAATCCTCAGCCACCCCCATCACATGCAGGTGACGCATCATTGTGTTATGGCCAGACAGCAGGCCCACCAACAACCGCAGGTTTTCACTATCCAAAGATACGCAAAACCGTCCATCCTCAACACGCGGCACTAAGATGAGCTACCGTGCCTGTGGGAGATGTTTAGAGATGCTTCTCCATTTCAAAGAGTGGTATCTAGCAAACCACTTCTCCATTATCCTCCTGAATTTTTGCGCGGGCACCCGTGGGGCTGACTCAGGACCAACAAGCTTGCCCTCTGATCCAGCTTTCGCGAGAACGTCCGCCATATCATTAGCAATTATCCCAGCGTGCCCCGGTACGCCAGACCCCACGTATATACATAAAGAAGGCACATCGCGTTACCTCTGACGTACGATGACTTATACTATTTCTTCCATTTAAAATTCCTGAAATGCAGTATAGCAAGTCATATGTAACGAAATAAGGAATTTATCAATATCGGTCTTACTGTTAAAACGGCAATTCCATAGTGAGACATTGATTCGAAGCATATCATTCTAGCATCCATTCTATCACAAGAACATGCGGGTAAACTACCAGACAAAGAGACCTCAAATGCACCCAAAGACAAATACTTTCTCGTCCGAATCCTTTTTTTCTTCTATGGACTTAACAGTATGTTACCAATGACATTTTTCGTCGTTGCAAATGATGTAAGTATAAACATATCGCCACTTGTGTTGAGTCTACTAACCATAAACATTGCAAGAATGCTGGTTTTGGAACTAAAAATCTATGTTATATTGAAAATTGCAATTACCTGAATTCCAATTTCGAATTGTATACGAAGTCTAAAAATTAGAAACACTCTTTGTATGATCAATATTCAGTCTCTTTTATAAATTTCACATTCATTTAGCATTTTTATTCCTTCCACAATTTTTTCTTCAGTCATATGGTCGGAAAATTTGGTACAGCTTTTTTGTTTCTGAATTCCACCTTTTTACGAAGCAAGGCCAGAATAATATTTTATTGTTCTTTTTAAGTTAGAACGTTGTCCATAAAATGAACTGAAGTAACTGTTTTCAGTATTGGATGTACAAGTTTCGCAACACAAACTACACGAATTGGGATCCACTCCATCGGACTTCAATTCAAATCTATTTCAGCTCTATACTAAGCACTGCGAAGGCAGTACCGGTGATGATCGTATCATTATTGGCCGCAAAGTACATCCATAAATTACATTTGAGGCCTAGGCTGCTTTACAGTACGCTTGTTATTTGTGCTGTATTTCTATCTCTGACTATATTCGTAGTTATTGATACTGACGATTGTAAGTATTTATCATTTCCTTTGGAATCATACTGGTTAGTTCTTTCATACTCTAGAACATACAGTAGCAACTTTTTCCTAAAATAAAAATGAAGGAGCTTTGACATTATTTCCAACTTCATCAGTTTGCTAAGAATAGCCTTTACAATAAATGAGCAGTTAATAAAATAAGCAAAATATTTAAAAATAATTTTTCCGATTGAAAATTAATAAGCGATAATGAAATTCCTTCATCTAAATTTTTCAAATAAAATCATGTTACGTTTTGATGAAAAAAGTGTGTAACAAGTTTTTTTTTGATCAAATAGCTTCATTATTGTTTATATATTTCCAATCGGAAAATTATTTTTAAATTTTTTGTTCATTCTATTAACAGGTAAATAAAAGCTGGTTTTTGAAAATGTATTTATTTAATATATTTATTTTCACTTTTTAGTAGTTATTTATGATGTCCAATAACTATTTTGGTAATTTCTGTATATTTTTTATATACATATTTTGTAAATGTGACTGCACTAAACTTCTTACTTTATTTGTATTATGAAATTTCGATAGATATAGATCATATAGCCATAAATCGATGTTCTGCGGCGATCGCCATATGGAATTTATAATAAGGTTATTTGCTTATTGTGTTTCTCTCAAAAGCCCTTTCATTTGATACCCATATCATAGCAGTAATCATGAAAACTATAAATAGCCATTTTGCGGAGGCCACCAAATTGGATTTCGAATGACCTCACTTTGCTTATTGTGTTTCTCTCATCAAGCCATTTGTTTTGATACCCATAGCATAGGGGTCAATATGGCAATGATGAATCGCCGTTTGGAAGCATTCCGCCAAACTGGATTCAAAATGGCGGCTGTCAATTCATTTTATACTGTCACGTAAACCAAACGTATGTACAAAAATCAAATTCAAGCGAATAACCAAATGAAAATGGTATTTACCATTTTGGATTGGTATTTACCGATCCGTTCAAGCGAGTGTGGTTATCAGTTTGATTATAAGATCCGTGACGTCATAATGTTATATGTCTTAGTTATCACCGCAAGATTATGGTATTTACCCAACTCAGGAGTAGTTTTATATGTCTGGTTATTATTTGGAATGTGACAAGTTAGTATTTTGCCGGGTATTGGATATTTTAATTGTACTTCAGCTTTATTTTTGGGAAACTTGATACAGGCTGACTTCAGTTTTAGCATAAAGTAAAGCACCTTATTAGTTATAATTGTACAATAATATTATGTTGTTGGGGGCACTTTAAATCTAGTTCCTATGCTTAACAAAGTATCCTGTGTACCTATATACCACAAGAATATTAGAATATGGCCATATAAACTCACTGGATGATGTCCACCTGTATACGGTTTTCCTACGTTTCTCCCTTCAATATTATGAAAGGTTTGTTTTTTAAACTTTCCATACGCCGTTGTAGACAAAAAAGCACCGATTATTAAGTGGATGATGTCCACCTGTATACGGTTTTCCTAATATCATTTTTTCATCGCTCTTTCATAACATTTCTGCTAAATCAATAAATGTTTTATTTGACATGCGGAAAGTTTAGAGAAATGAAAGTTATCATAGCTACAACGCTATGGTTCCAACATTAAAAGATTTTTTCTGAAAAAAAAAACGTTTCTCCCTTCAATATTATGAAAGGTTTTTTTTTAAACTTTCCATACGCCGTTGTAGACAAAAAAGCACCGATTATTAAGTGATAATAAAAATAATCAGAAATTATATACGAGCTTTTCTAAAATAAACAACTTGCAACAAAACCGCGGTTAAAACCAACACGTTCAAGCGATTCGAGTAACTGACGTCATCAACCTGCGTGTCATCTTGAACCAGGGGCGTAGCTATCCTAGGGCAAACCGGGGCAGTGCCCCGGGGCCCCGGCTTATAGGGGGCCCCGGCCATTCGTCTCAAAAAAATTGTTTTTAAGCGCCGATCAGCAGTAAATTCAGTACGTGCTAATATAACCTAAGTATACTAAAAAGAAAAATAAATAATAAATATAATGATAAATAATGTTTATTTTTTAAGCGCCGATCAGCAATAAATTCAGTAAGTGCTATTATAACCTAGGTATACTAAAAAGAAAAATAAATAAATATACAGGGTGACTTCGAAGTTGAGTCATTTATTTTAACAGTGAGTAGATCTGATCAAAAGAAATGCTTTTTTCCTTTAACATTTTTCTGGTAAAATTAAAGTAACAAAGTTATAGCCCTTTAGAAGTTTGAGTACCGCCCTGTCTCAATAATAATATTATGTGCTCGTGTTTGGCAACAACGGATATAATCCGCCTTATTCGTTCATCGCATCGGAAACAAAAAAGCGAAAGAATTTGAAACGATGTTTTTACTACAATGTACAATTTTATTCAGTTGTTTTTCGTCAATGTGTCAGTCGGTAACGCGTGAGTGAATAGTGGTGTTTGTTGGTTTGTTGCGTGGCTCAAACGAAATAAAAAATGCACATGTTTACGAAAATGCTGAACTTGTGGACATGATTCTTATTTACGGGGGGGGGAGTCTTTATGCGGATCGGTTTCCCAATCGAGTGCAACCAAGCCCTCGTGCCTTTGTTAATGCAGTACAAATGGCTCGTGAATCAGGTGACTTAAGACCTCACAGGGGAGGGCATGCCGGTGCTCCAAGACCGCACGATCAAATACAGGTCCGCACTGAAATACTTGTCGGGAGGATACTTTATAAAACAAGGTAACATTTTTTAATTTTTTTTATTTTTTTTTTACACACATTTTGGTTTATCTTCCTTCTACAATCATTATCTGAAAATTAATGACTCAACTTCAAAGTATAATGATAAATAACGTTTATTTTTTAAAACGCTTCATATTTGAGGAAAACGCTTGCGTTCCTAAATGTATGTAGCTATAATCCGTCGGACCGCGACGGGCTTGGCACCACCGCCTTACTATTACGTCTCGTCTTTGGAGATTCCCCCTATTGTTTTGATGATTTTAACTACCCAGCGTGCCCTATGTGATATTGATATGTGTCGTAGTCGTGCCGTGGTGCCCGACGTGGTGTAAAATAACATTACCATATTTGTCTTGTGACTATTGTGTCTCGTAATAATAAGGTACCTATTAGAAAAAAAGGTAAGTGTAAGTTATATTACTTAATGAATAAATGGCTCGATTTTGATTTGTGCGTAATTCTGTTTGTAAATGTACATTTGTCCATTACCTTGCTGAGTAAAGGCGCCCGCAGAATTTCCGTAACGTAAGACTTAAGACTTAAGTTTCATTTAAGACAGATTAAGACTTAACCGCAACGAATTATACAGAATTCTGATAAGGTGATTTATAAAGTATAGTCAAGACTTAAGCCTTAAGGCATGTGAAATTACGTTACAGCTTAAGGCTTAAGTCTGGGCTTAAGTCTTACGTTACGTAAACTCTGCGGGCACCTTAAACCCGACACTAAATTCGAAAAGTCTCTTAAAGACTAAAAATGATCTATTCACTGTTTCAAAAATATCGACTAATTTTTTTTCTCTTAAGTAAGTATATCGAACAAATTGCTAGAAATGACGAAAAAACATCCTGTAAAAGTTACAGCTCTTAAATATTAATATTTTGAGGTGCCGCATAGCAAATTTCAATT